AGGTCACTGGATACAACCACTTGTAACATTATAATTTTATGAATATCTACTGAAAGAGCCTAAAGCTATGCAGATGTGAAGTTCTGTCTTGTGTTAAATGCCATGGCCCAAGCAGGAATTTGTACTAATTCACACCAGATCAGTATATGTTTTAAAGGTGTAAGTTCAACTGAGTTTCTATGTGAAGACCATAGGAAGTAACAACTATGATGTTCTCCCACTATAACCAATCCATTAGAAAGCAGTGGAGGACCACGAGCAGTTGGCATTGGTGGTAGTTTTGAATAAGAGAAGACAAACTAGGAAATGGAGCTGAATCAGAGGGTGGGAAATATATAACAGGTCTTCCATGAAGGAGATGAGGGGATAGTAAGCTTTCCTAAGGACTAGTTTAAATGTCTCAGGAGGGGAAATGCCGTTAGAGCCCTGTCTCCATTGATTGCTGTGAAGATCGAACACTTTGGAGGTAAGAGGAAGACACTCTCAAAACTTAGTGGCTTATCCTCTGCTTTCTTTTCATATCTTTGAATTCATGGCAGGTAGAGATGAGAAAAATCCCCCTCAAGTAAAGCAGTCTTCACAGAAATACATGATAGCCTTTTTTTTTTTGCTCCCATTGAAAGCATTGCCACGTACTCACCCCACTCCAGATTACCTTACCTAGAGAAATTAATGCATATTGTCTTTTTTGTCTGACCTTGAACCTTACCTTATTTACTCTTGGCTAGGAACTTTTTTTGGCGAGGAGAAGCTGAGGAGGAGCTTGGCCTCCTTTGTTTAAATCCTTTGTTCTTCTGTAACGGAAGTCAGGCCTGTTCCATCCATCATAGGTTTGGCCACTCAACGTTTGACACCACAGTAGTAAATATAGATGATAACATCCCTCAAACTTTTCCTACATGCCAGCCACTGTACTAAGTGCTTTATATATATTGTCGCATTTAATCTACAGAATACACCTATGATCTAGGTTACCTTTATATTGATGAGGAAATTCCCATCTCCCTAAGTTGAGAGGATTTTCCATCATAGCGTGTATTTCCATTACGAGTAGACATCTTTCCTTACCTCCCTTCTTGTGAACCATGGACTTCCTACAAAGTCTCAATAGTGGGCTTTCTCATGCCCCTATGGCTTCAAGGACGCTCCCAAGCTTACTGGTTTTGGCGTCCTGCATGGGTAAACGTTCTGTTAAGAGCTGTAACTGCTCTTTCTGTCCCTCCGTGGTGGGATGAGTGTAGGAAGAGGACTTTAAAAGAGTTTGGATCCGAAGTCTTCCAAACCCTGTTGGAGGGCCAGTTGTGCAGGAGCATAGGAGAAATGTGATGAAATGAGCCAAGGCTCTCTCAACGAGAAGGCTCCCTGGATGTTGTTGCTACTGATATGTTCTCTGCTGCTATAGCTCTAGGGTTATTCCCTAGAAATGTACACACTATGAAGAGGACCAACTGAATCACTGTGTAGAGAATGGTCCTCCTCTCAAGGGCATTTCCTCTTCTTACATCCTGCTCTTGAGATCAAGACCCTTCTCTTCACACTGACTCAGTTGGCTCTCTTCATAGTGTCTGTGGGTCATTTACTTCAGAGTGTGAAAACTTCAGGGAACAAGGGTCATGTGAAAAAGTCTTCTACCTAATCTACCTCAATCTTACTACTAGGAAAGCTAGCTCTCTCCAGCTCCAGTTTTTGGGTTACTTTCTTTACTGGATTCCATTTCTGCTCCTTAGGTCCAAGTTGAAACACTTTTCTTTGAAGCCATCTACACAAAGCTGGGCAATACTCCCCTGGACACCCTCCTCCCCTCTGCAAGTTCCCACTCCCAGCCACAGAAATCTCTTATAACTAATCAGTCTCCTTTTCCCATTCTTCAGCTTTTAAATAGGAATGCATCAAGATTCAGCCAGCGTTGGTATTTGGCCCAAACCTGTTATTCATTTTGGACTTCAGCTTTGACCTTTGGAAGGCTGAATAGCCAAATGCCTATTTCAACATTATTCTTGGCATCGCTAAACTTGGCTGTGATCAAGATCATGTGAAGGAATGGAAGACTGTCAAACCTAATCAGTTAAAGCACCAATAATGAGAACAAGCCAAGTCATTTTTATTCATTGTTAATATCTGAATAGCCACTTTCAAATATTTCTGAGCATTCTAGATATAACTTGGAGTGAAATTTTTCTTATGAACTTTTTTAATGTAGAAAGTCTATCATTCAGTGGAAGTATAAATGCATATTTACTATTTTAAGAAAAATGCTGTAATAATTAATGGTTGTGAAAGCTTATATTATATACAAAATATTAAGAATTTTCACATAGTTAAAAAATAGGAAAATTAGTCGGCAGCTAATACAAATAGTAGGAGAGAGTATATTAGCTGGATAACAATAGGAAGAACCTTATAGACTTTTTGAGCCAAAAGTATTTATAACAATTTAATAAATAATACCAGCACTATTTAACAAATAGTACAAGGCAGAATAATAGAAATTAGATTATATCATATTTCTATGATTTCGTTATATCATAATCTTTGTAGAATTGATTGGTGTATTAGGATTTATCAGGTTAAAATAATCCTTAAGAACTATACTTTTTAGGAAAATTTTTTTTATTGAGGTATAACTTACGTAGAGTAAATACATGAATCGTAAGTATACAGCTCAGTGAGTTTTCACAAATTAAACATATCCAGATTAAGAAAGAACATTTCTAGCTTACCTCTTACCCATTCCCAGTCAGTACTCCCCAAGGCTACAGCTATTCTGACCTCCAGCATCACAGATTACTTTTAAATTATGTTTAATTTTTAGTTATTTAATACTATCTAGGTCATAAGTCTTTCAAGAAAATGTCCTATTTGGAAATTCTTCTCAATTTGAGAAGATGCATTAAAGTCATAATTTTAGCCACTTCAAAATTTTGTGAGGAGGATGTCTTCAAAGCCATTGTATCCATAAGGAAAATCATCAATAAAGAAAATATAAAGAGTTGTGAAAAAAGAATAAACTGAAAAGAAGTATCAGCTACCCTTAAGTATCTTGCTTTTTTATGCACCTCAATTGAAAACCATCTATTTAGAATGATAAATGCATAGTATAGAGACCATGGGATGTATAGATTTTACACTCAGTCATTTGGCATTTGTCCACAACGTATGTTTAGTGCACCTCTTACTTTCAAGACTCATCAACTTATTGGCTCCACACTCTGCTTGAATTGTTTAAGGTTCTGTTCTCTTTTCTTTTGATCATCCTTTCCCTCCCTTCTCTCACCTTCTCAAACCACTCAGCTCACCTGGAAGGACTCAGCCTGCAGACTTGTCCTCTAGCCTGCTCTTGAACTTCACTCTGGCACAAGAAAGCCCTCAAGGAGAATTGAGTGGGGTATTTGCCTTGGTCTGCGTGTTTGCCAAAGGTGGATATGATCTGACGGGGATATTGCTATTGCTACAGCCACTGCTACTACTAATTGTTATGATTGAATGCCTACCAGTGCCTGGGGCTGACTAAGGCTTCATAAATGTCATTTCCAAATCTTCCTGCAATCCTGTTGGGTAGGTGGTATTACTCCCATTTTGCTACATGGAAACATAGCTGTAGGGAGGTTCAGTAGTTTGCTCAAGGTCACGTAGCCAGGAAGGACTGAGCCAAGATTTACACCCAAGATTTGGCTCCAAAGCTTACTCTGACTCTGGTAAGGAGTCAAGGAGCACTGGAGTTGTTGGGGACGGACAGGAAGAGAGCAGACTACTCAACAGGGAATGGAAGGTCCAAAAACATGGCTGGGTGCTGAAGTGGGGCAGGCATGGGTGTAGTGTAGCTCCTCTGGGACTGAGATGAAGGAAGAGAGAAGGGGCTGGTGATGGTCAGGGTTTCAGGCAATGTGGGGTGTGGGTGCGGCAGTTAACAGGATAGAGTCAATAGAAAGCCAGAGCTTCTCCAGCTCTGCTCACTACGGAGGGAGAAATGGTATCTGCAGCTCAAGGGGACAGGGAGATGGCATTTCTACATCTCAACTCCTCCGGCCTGGGCAGACTGCCAGAGTGGAAAGCCAGGGAAGCACCGAGGCAGGAGAGATCATTATCAGGAGGAAGGAAGCTCTGGCAGCTCCCACCAGCCTGTTTGTGACAAGCAGGCTCTGGGCCACGGAAGTCCCTTGAGGTCAAGGGAAATGTGATCCTGGAGCAGGGAGATGAAGCTGGGACACTCCACTGATCCTATGTCTTCAGGCCAAGGGGATCTAACTAGAGCTAGGCCCAGGGCCCAGGTCAGAAGAGCAGTGGGCTGGAGTAGGGGGAGGATGGTCAGAGAGGCAGAGAGAGAGAAGGAATTAAGATCCCAGGAGCAACCCACAAACAGTCTCTTGGCTTAAGTGGTAATAACCTTTATTGCAGCCAACACATGGTAACTGGCTCTTCGGAGCTCTCAGGGTACATTTCTTCAGGGTGAACTCTTACCTAGTTCTCCTCTTGTCCCTGTAGAGGTTTCCTTTTTTGTCCAATAGTCAAGTAGAAAGTGCACTGTATTTAGGAGACTTAGGTTCAAGTCAAGCTTCTTTTGCTAACCAATTTGACAAGCTCTTTAGTTAAGCTTTCTGAAATCTCAATTTCCTCATCCTAAAGTAGGCAAGTAATCCCTGTCAAGTCTATCTCACAAGGGACTCATGTGGCATGAAATGCTATATAAATATGAAACGGTTCTTCCTTGTCTTCTTTCCTTCCAGCTGCCTCTCTGCACACAGGCCACCTCACTACCACCTCAGAGCTGGGGAAGATTCCTAGTCTAGGAACAGGAACAGCTCTGTCCATATATCCCATACAACCCTTTCCATTTATTTCCTCCTCTTGTCACGCTGTCATGATAAGGTGGGGGCAGGGGAAAGATGTACAAGGCACAGACCCGGGAACCCACACCCGAGCTTGCTCAGCCCCTCTCTTGGGGATAAGCTTCCGGGAGAACAGCAAGAAAAAGATGAAAGACCATTTCTTCTGGAGCTTAGCCTACTGAGGTATCAACCTCAGCTCCCCCTTCAGTCTCTTGGAAGAGCCTGAGCTAAGAACGATCCCAAGAGATGAGGGGAAGAGAAACTTCTTAGCATAGAAGGAGTGGTACAAAGGCGTGGAAAAGGAATTAAGGCACAACCCAAGAGTGAGGAAGGCTGGAAATCTGCAAGACTTTGTCCAAGTGCACAGGAACCAGCTGGAATTGCCCAGAGTCCCCTTTCTGGGGAGGGTCACAGGCCACAATGAAGAACGCATCCAGTTGCTTCTCTTTGTACCTGCAGTCTGGGTACCTCCCAGAGGTGAGGTCACACATGGTCAGGGACACGGACTTCTGGCTCTGGTGGCAGTTCTTATGGCCGTTCTTGCAGGCTATGCTGGGGGTCTGACAGGTGGTGGCCACACTGGAGAAGGATTCATGCAGGAAGGTGTTGAGGTCTTTGCAGCGTTTTGTGTACTTGTTGACGTTGCCCATCGCCGTGTTGCATCCCTGGGGCTTGGGCTGCACATGCTGAGTTTCAAACCACTGAGCTGGGGTCATGTGCTTGGGCTTGGCACTGACTGAGACCTTGACCACCCAGAGCCCTAGCAGCAGAAGCAGCAGCAGGGGGCAGAATCCGGCTCTGGCAGCTGCCATCTTAAGGGAAACAGAATGGAGGGCTGCAGTCTCTGGGGACAGAGAGCAGGTGGTGTTTAGTTGAGAAATTAGCCTTCCTATACCTGCTCCTTCTAGCTAACCATAATCTCCCTCCCCTACTGCCTCCTTCCTCCCTCACCCTGTGTCTCACCTCTTCCTCCCTGTCTGTGTGCCCACACCATGACCCCAGCCCATAACCCTATGGCCCCAACCACCTCACCTTGTACCCCTATCTTCCTTCATTCTGTCCCTCTTGCCTCCCACTCTTTGTTCTATCTCCTCTCCCTCAAGTCCCACCCACTTTGTGTCCCTATGTCCCCGTCCTTTTCTCTGTATCTCATCCCCTCCATGACCCCATCCCCATCTCCTGTGTCCCCATATTGTGCCTCCAACCCCCAGCATCACTCTCTTCTCTCCCCTATCTATGTCCTCATCCCCTACACATTGAGTCCCTCCCTTGTCCATCTTATCACTTACCTGAGTGTATTCTTATCCAGTCAGTACCTGTCCCTTCTCTGTCCTCTCCTCTCAGCCGTGTCCCACCGCAGACCTCACTTCCTCACTGAGTCCTCACACTAGGGCTGAGGATGTACCTTCGCACCACTGGGCCTGGGATCTCTGAGAGCCTCTTCTCACTGCCTAACTCCTTAAGAGCGGGTGTGGGCTACACTGCTTCTGTTTGGGGCCGGCTGGGGAGCAGTCCTGGGTCAGGAAATGAATCAGGTTCATGCCTCTCCACTTACGTGTCCCAAATAAGTGGATACTTAGGGAGCTAGTGCACCTGCCTAAACATGTTCAGCAATGAGGAAGCTTGAATCCTCATGCTCCAAGACTAGATTTGGCCCCTGGTCACATGGTTTTAATGACTCTAATAAAGCACCTGACCAGGTGTCAACCAAAATGAATTTTGGGGAGAGTTGTCATTTATCTCCTCCTATATACACTCTGGTTCATGACCCTGGGAAGAGCCAATCACTGTGATGATAAGGATTGCCTTTTTCTCACCTGAGATACAGATAGAATAGCGTAGAAAGTTGCTTTGTATGGTTTCCCATTATTGGGACTTACTGCTTATCTTTTGGAGGAGACAGGGAAGTGGATGAATCATCACAGTCACGATGCCCAGCACATCCCGACTCAGCTATTCTACAAAGACTCATTCCTCTGGGCCCCTCTGGTTCCAGGCGCCCACATGGCTTTACCTGGAGAAGGCAGCCAACAACTCTCATCCTTTACTCTCTCCCTTCCTACTTAGTTGAAATTTGCAAAACTTAAACATTGTTCAAATTTGGAAATGCTGTTGTTGGTGGTGTTGCTCTGCATCCAGCCATGGGTCTTCCTTCACTTCATACGCTCTGTTCCTGGTGGGTATTAGACTGTGTGGAGAGCTTGGGTCAGCACTGCTCCAGGAGCTCCAGTGAGCTTAGCATATGGTTCTCAGGAGAATCAAGACACTGACGCAGAGAAGCATCACTTTTGGTGGGTGGGAAGGCCTGGGAAACTGAGATGAACAGTGTTTTTGTTTTCAGGATTCTTCTGTAAGTAGTAGGTAATCTCAGAATCTCGGGTTGATGTTCAAATGTTTATTGAGCATCTACTGTGTGCCAAGATGCTTGGGATATATCAGTGAACAAAAGAGACAAAAATCCCTGCTTTTGTAGGGCTTACATTCCATTGGGGGAAAGACAGTAAAACATATATACTTTGCTCAAAGTGATAATTGCTAAGGAAAAAAGTAGAACTGGATGGAGGTTGATAGGTGGTGATTTTTAAATAGGGTCTTTGAAGTAGGTGACTCTGGGACAAAGACGTGAAGGTGAGAGAAATGAACTTGTGCTTGTCTGGAGAAGAATGCTCCAGGTAGAGAGATCAGACTGGAAAGGGGGGAACGCCTGGAGTGTTGGAGGAACAGCAAGGAGTGCATGTTGCTGGAGCAGGTGAATGATGGGGTCAGGCAGGTGCCAGAGGTTGGATCATGGACAACCAGAGAGACCATTAGGAGGACTATGACTTTTTCTCTGAAGACATTGGGGAGCCCTGGGAGAGTTCTAAGCAGAGAAGCAAAAGGCTTGTCTGTTTAAAGATCACTTGGCTGTTGTATGGAGTGTAACCGTAGACAGGCTACGTAAACTGTCTCCATCATAAGGTTTGTGTTCTGGTCCAGACGTTAGGATTTGGAGTCAGGAAGATTGGGGTGTTTGTTTTAAGGCCAGAGAGATGATATTTCAGTAGCTAGAGAGCACAGCTGTGGGTCAGGATGAAACATCTTCAGAAGGAGCGTTGTTGGAGATGGGACCCACCACTAGATGGCAACAGAGAACCAGGAGCAAGTTCCGGCAGGGCGTCCACTCCTCTAGTTGGCCCTCAGTGAGGCCTTGACCGAAGGAACAGCATTCACTGCTTTGTTAAGGTGCCTGAATCTTTGCAATTTGAACTTCTGGATAGAGAATTATGCCTCTGCTGCTGTAGAAATGCAAATTTTTGGAGAAAAAAATCCATGGTTTAAAGCAGACTGTGGATAGAATACAGATCAGCATAGGCCAGTCCAGCCCTGGCATGGTGGCTGGGGTTGGAGGAGTCGGGGGGAGGCCAAGAGCTCATTTGAATTCCTAGCCCGGACTCCTTCTTACTTCTCATTATTCTAGAGTGAGATGTTTCCAAACCACAACTTGCACTGCCCTCTGCTCTTGTGTTTTCCTGTCATTATAATTATCCTAGTTTGCTCTTCAACTCCATTATGCTGCATTCCCCAGAAGGCTGCCTTAGTGATCTGTGAAAGTAAAATAAAGATGGCCCTACTGACTCAGATCAAAAGGAAGAGAGAGTAAAGGTTTAGGTTTGCACATGAAAATTGATGTAGAAGAGTCGACCCTCCCATCTGCACAATTCAAGCTGAAACCCTTATTTTACCTCCATTGTTTGGATAAGGCGGGTGATTTTGTTTCTTCATTTGCTTAAAGTATCCAGTTTCCAAGATCTGTTTCCCTCTGCACTCGGTAGGATAATTTTGCCATTTTTCCTTCAGTACATTCATGGAGCAAGAGGAAAAGATGGAGGAAGGGGGACAAGGTTAGGGAGAACAAAAGCAGTTAGGCATCAGGCCAAGGACTGGTCAGGGCATCTGGCAGAAGGGAGAAGAGAGAAATTAGAGAAGGGACAGCAGAAGACAAAGTGGGAGAGAAGATGAGAGGGAAGTAAGCCCCTCAGACAAGAAACCTCCATCCAGGGATATGAGGTAACTGCCCCAGCCTCCTCCTCATTCTATCGCCATAGTCATTGCTCTTGGCTTAACCTCTCCCCAGGGCACCGTTGTGTGTGTGTGTGTGTGTGTGTGTGTGTTTAAAGTTGTTTGGGTGGGTGTTGTGAAAATCCCAGCAGTGCCAGGTGGACCTCTGCCTGTCTTCCCCACAGGACAACAGCTGCTGCTTCCTGTAGCCTGTGTTGGGAGGGGATGCGGGGGGCTGGGAGAGAGGAAGGCTAGGCCTGGATTGGTGCCCAGCCTCTCTCTCTTCCAGAGTTCCACACAGCCTCTGGATACTGGTGGAAAGCCCACGAGAGTTTCCTTCCAAGCAGGAGCAGGTCCAAGTTCTGTTATCCTAATTTTGTTGTTCCTCAGATAAATAAAGGTGATGGGCTAATTTTTGTAGATGGGGAAAGTGAAACAAACAGCAAGTTGGGGTCAGATGTGAGACTTTCTTTGGGTCTTTGGATTCTCATGACCTTTCCTGGAACAGCTTTGGGTCTGGAGGAGGCAGCCCTGACAGAAGGTTGGAATCCCTGGCTCCCAGACCAATGCCTTTAGACAAGCCAGGACGTAGGAGAGGGGAACCTAGTCTGGGTTTGAGAGGCCTCACCAGGTCACTCTGTCTCATAAGCCATTGCAAGCTCCTCATTTATCTACAGAATAAAATATAAATTCCTTGGCTTGATATTCAAGATCTGCCACAATTCGGCAAACTTGTCTTTCCAACTTTATCTCTCCCTTTTCCCACACTAAGTGCCTCAACTCCAGCCATCCTGGTTTTCTCTTTTTTCTCAAACATACCTTTCATAGTCCTCATTATCTCCACTTAACTCGTGTTCCTTGAGACCCATCCCAAGGAACCAGGATCACCCCCCCTCCTGAAAACTTGCTCTGATCCTCCCAATTCAGAGGAATGTTTCTTACCCCTTAAATTCCTACAACATTTACTGTCTTCAAGATGCATGATATTCTGTCTTGAATCATTAGTTAGTTCTTCATATGTATTTATCATTTTCCTCCAATTTAGACTATCAATTTCCAGAAGGATCATCTATTACACTTCTTTTGCACCTCCCACAGGATATAGCACAGTGCCTTGCATATAAGTGTCCTTAACTGATTCAACTTTTGGGTTAGAAGGCCTTCACTCTGCCCAGAATGATCCCAGTCACAGGTGGGATTACCACCAACCCACAGCATTGGTTAGCAGATTGAGGAACTGACAATGCAGCTCCTGGACTTCAATCCTGGGGTGGAGGTGAAGCTATGACAAGAAGGTTGAGATGGCTGAAGCAATCCTTTGGGTTCAAGGACACCAGGAACTCTCCATGACACTGTAAGCAGTACAATAAATTGAGTTGGACGGGGCAAAAGTGATACCACTGAGACTGTGGTGAGCGGGTAAAATCTTGTGATTCCCATCAATCACAGGGAATCACCCCTGCACCTGCCACCCTAGCCAGTTGTTCTAGAAATGCTTACCGTGGGGGCGGGGAGGAAGGAGAGAATGTGTAATAACTCCATGCAGAGGGTCATGTTTACAGGAAAAATAACTGAGAGTTGTTTCAATGGTGAACTATCAGTACCCCTTCTGCTGGTGGAAGAGCCAGCACCATTACAAGCAAGATCTAACAGAAATATTTCTAAGTCCTAGACATTTACCAACCCTTTCCAATAGGTAAGGTATAAGTAAGTCTGCCTTTGTTAGGAAATCTGATTCTCTCATTAGATCCTGGTTTCTCAACCTCAGCACTATTTACCTTTGGTCTGGATAATTCTTTGTTGAGGGAGCTGTCTTGTGCAATGCTGAATGTTTAGCACCATCCCCGGCCTCTACCCACTAGATGCCAGTAGCACCTCCCAGTTGTGCCAACCAAAAATGTCTCTAGACATGACCAAATTGCCCCTCATTGAGAATCACTGAATTAGACATATGACCGTGAGCAAGCTACTGCCCCTCTCTAAAATTTTGTTTCTTAACCTTTAGGGTAATTCTTGTATATGTAAAGTCCAGTGTAATGGGGTAACAATCCCACAAATCTCAGGCTTAGGGAGCAGATGAAACCAGGGCGAGCATGTCAGAGTGGATGACACAATCCTATGGATCAGCACTGCTAGGACAGGATTTTTTTTTTTTTAAAGATTGGCACCTGAGCTAACATCTGTTGCCATTCTTCTTCCTTTTTTCCCCCCTCTTCTCCCCAAAGCCCCCCAGTACATAGTTCTATATTCTAGTTGCAGTTCCTTGGGGCTCTGCTATGTGGGACGCCTCCTCAGCTTGGCCTGATGAGCAGTGCTTGGTCCAGGTCCAGGAGCCAAGCTGGTGAAAGCCTGGGCTGCCAAAGCAGAGCGCTCGAACTTAACCACTCAGCCACGGGGTCGTCCCCCTAGGAGAAGATTTTAAAGATCAGACCACTAAGACTGCAGGTTGGAACCCAAAGGCCCAGCAGATATTCAGTACTTTTCCTGGTCCTGTGATCGTGCCTTTGTTAAATATGTTCATACATGTGTCTTTCCCACTGAATTATAAATTTAATCTGGACTGGAATTATCTTATTTACCTCTGTATTCTCCCCAACATTTGTCATAGCACTTTAAAATGTTATTTAATAATTACTTTTTAAAAAATATTTTCAAGTAATCAACGTGGGGCATGGCTAACAATAGAAAGCTTCATGAAGATGAATTTTAAGTTAGGTGTGAGAGGGGCTCTAGATTGGCAGAGTGGGCATGGGGGAGGACCCTTGGCTCATTTGAGGAATCAAAGAGGGTTTGCAGATGTTGAGTGAGTTGGGAAAAAAGTGAGTTGGTGTAGAATCTAGGAGATCATATCTAGTTATCTATTTATATATTGTTTAATGGTTAAAAGTCTCTTTCATGCTGACCATCTCATTTTATTCTTGCAGCCTTATGAGCTAAGGAATGTATGAATCCCTTTATAGAAGAGGAAACAGAAGCTCAGTAGGTTATCTGTATCCAGTCCTGAACTCTGTCCTCTACAATGTGCTCTTCCATTTCTGTAACTGCGTGTGCAGAGGTGAGTGGTGGCGGATGGGTAGCAAATGAAGGAAGAGGATGACCAAGAGACATGAAAAGCTCCTTTCTCTTCTCAGGGAAGCTGCAGCATTGAGCAAATAGGGAAGTGGTGGCATGCTTTGAGGCGGGGACCACAAAGTGGTAGGCTTCCTCAAAACAAAGACTTGAGTCAGCCAGGCTCAGGCACCACCCTGCATGGGCTCCCACTCTGTGTTTGCTTGTAGACTGCCTGAAGGACACAGACGAGCCACCTGCCTGTGTGGGATTTACTCTCAGTTGCTTGGCTGTGCACACACTTCCCCGGGGAGATCTTTCAAGCAGAGGCTTCTTAAAGAGGATCTCTGGGCTGAGTCCTCTCATGAGCTAGCTCAGTGGAATTGATGGAGGTGAGGGTGGGAGGAGGAGAAAAGCAGCATTCCGGGTAGAGGAGACAGTGTGAGCAAGGACATAGAGGTGGGGTGGGGCACAAAGGGGGAAGCAAGCAGGGATGGAGATGCAGTTGGAGACGTGGTGGGGGCCAGGTCATGGAAGATCTTATGTCCTACAAGGTGTAGAGCCCTACTAGAGTTGGAGTGTGTGTGGCGTCCAGGAGAAGTGACAGCCTGAGCAGAAAAAGAAATAGGAATGGAAGGGACAGGTTTAGGAAAAGTTTACATAAGATTGTCAGGGCTGTGTGACGGCTACGGCATGACTCATGGTCTACTGAGGACTTACCATGTGCCAGGCACTGGGCTGAAAGCTCTTAATATACATCTTAATGTAGCTCAATACTGCCGCAAGGTATAAAATATTATCCTCATTAACAGACAAAGAAATTGAAGATTATCGTGGGGTTTAGTAAACTTAGATTGATGGTGCACAGCCGGCAAGCAGCAGAGCCAGGATTCAGCTTCTGGTCTGTTTTACTCAAAAGCCTTGTTCTTAACCACCATGCAGCCACTGCCTCCCAACAGGTGGGCTTAGGGAGAGGGAGGGGTCTAGGATCACTCTCAGATTTCATGCACAGGTAACTGAGGAAACCAAGATAGACAACACAGGAAGAGAAGCCAATTGTGGGGAGGGCAGGTTCAGTTTTGGATTCTAGTTTGTGCTGTCAGAAAGAGCAAGTTTAGGGGGGCTGTGAATGAGGAACACCGGGACGTCTCTCTGTGTCCCGCTCCTGAAATACACACTGGCCTTGGAGCACTCAGGGTTCCGTGTTCTGACTCCGCACTCCCGCTCTCCAGGACAAGAGCGGTAGGCTCTCCTAGAAGGAAGCCCACAACCTGGACAACACTCTGCAGGGAGGCAAAGCTCAGAAGCCTCTGGAAGTCAAGGACTGTGGCTGGCAGGCGTAGGGAGCTAGCTCCTTTGTTCTGATAAAGGGCCAGGTATTGATGAAAAAGAAAGTTAGGAGGCCAGCTTTTTCCCAACATGACAAACTACAAATCTGATCTGCGGGGCTCAGGTGGCCTGCACTCCCTCAAGTCCGGGCTGTGCTGTCTAATCCAACCTGACACCTTTGAGGTTTAGGGTCAGCACGCATAAATTTCCAGGAGGGCTCAGACGCTGACAGGGCCTGGGGTTACAGGTGAGGGAGTCAGTGTGATTGTGACTAGAGTGAAGGTGACAATGGGGACTGTGGGGGGTCCAATAGGGGTGTTTGATTCTCAGCCCGGCACTCTGGTGGGAGGCCCTTATGTGGTGTGCCTGGCCTCCTGGGCTCCTGTGAGTGGGATAAGAGTGGCAGACCCTCTGTTCTCTAAGGGTCAGGAACAAGCAGCACTTTGTTCTTCAGAAACACGACAGTACTTTCCTTCTTACCTTTCCGCGGGAGCAGGGCCTATGGACCAGAGAAAACATCAAAGAAAGCCCAAGAACTTAGGGTCTTCTGGCAAGTAGGTCAGAACTCAGTGTTCTGGTGACACCAGAAAGGAGGAGACCAGATAGCAATGTCTCTTTCCTCCCACCCATCCAACCCCCTCAGCACAGGAACTCCTCAAACTCAGGGGACACTCCCTCCTCCCAGACTAGTCTTTATCCAGAAACCTTTCTAGCTTCTTCTCACCTTCGGGCTGTCCTTGGCCTCAGGCAAGAATCATCCCTGCCCCTGCCCTGCTGTCTTCCAGCTCTTGTCTTTCCTCCGGAGCAGTCGGAGGATTGGAGAATCAAATTGGAGAATCGTAGCTCAGCCTGTTCCTTCTATCACCTCTGCATTTTTTACCAGAAGAGCTGACAGGGCCAGCAGTAATCAGGAAGAGTCACTCACCCAAGGACCAGCTGGACCTCTTATTCCGTAAGTGTTACAGCTCATGGACTGGGTGAGGCTGAGACCCTGAGTTGGAACAAGGGAAAGGAGGGAATGGCTGAAGGTGGCTGACCAGCTGAGTGACCTTGGGCAAGTGTCTTTTCTCTCGGGGGCATAAGGAATTGGGCTGGATGATCTCCGAGGTACAGCCCAGCTCTTGGGGTATAGGTGAAGGCACAGAAGGAAGGCTGGGGTAATGCTGGTGGCTCCAGGAAGAGGCAGACAGCCACCCTAGGCCCACTGCCTCCAACCACCTAAATTCTTCCAGCAGGAGGAATGGCACAAGCTGTGGCCTGGCTCCTCTTCCTCCAGCTTGTTCTAGAAGAAACTCAGGTTGTGGACAGCAAGTTGCAGATTGCTATCAAGAACTTCCGCACCTTACACATCGACTATCCCATGGTTAACTATCCAGAGGGTTTCCAGGGCTACTGCAATGGTCTGATGGCTTATGTGCGGGATGTAAAGCAAAGCTGGTATTGTCCAAAGACCCATTATGTGGTACATGCCCCCTGGAAAGCTGTCCGGGAGTTCTGCAAGTACAGTGAAAGCTTCTGTGAGAATTACAACGAATACTGTACACTCACCCATGACTCCTATCCCCTCACGATCTGCTCTCTGGGTTCCATACAACCTCCCACCAGCTGCCGCTACAATGGCACACTAACCAACCAAAGGCTCTACCTGCTCTGTTCCCGAAAGTATGATGCTGAACCCATAGGTATCATTGGCCTCTACTAAGGAAGGGAGGCATTCATTCTGTACCACCTCCTACTGCCACCACAGACCAGCCTGTCCCCATTCCCTAAACTCTGACCCCTGGTACAACCCTTCCTCCCTGACTTCGAGAGCAGGTAGGGTCCTCCCAAGAGACTAGGGAGGTAGGAAAAATGTCCAGAGCTTTGGTCACCATGCAAAGTCTTACTGTCATCTGGTCCCAACTTGTTTACCTCCCCCTCCTCTATCATACTCCCTCTCCCACAGACAGTTTTACCTACCCAAGAAGCTGACTGTGTCCAGTTGGCAGTAACTGTCCATCCACTGAGCCAGATCCTGAATACTGGATGGAGGCCCAGAGCCTCAGCTCGCACCATGGCAACAGGCACCCAGCTAGTCTCAACTTCCCATCCCCACCAGCCTTCTCTTCTCAGTCTTCTCCATTTCCTTATGACTCCCTCTACTCACTCACCCACACAGTCAGTGTCTCTAGCTATAGGAAACTTCCTGGGACCCTTAGACTCATTTCAGCCTCACCTCCCCAGAACCCATCGCAGTTCCCAGTCTGCTCCTCTCTATGAAATCATTATCTTCTCTTCATGTAACCTGTTCTTTCCTCCCTCCTTCTACCATGGAGCCCAGTGCAGTCTCTTCCCCACGTTTCCAACCTCCTTTAGTCACCCTGCCTTCCTTTCTCTGATCTCTTTTCCTTCCATCCTTCTCACCTTGGCTCGCTGGAGTTTCTAGTTATTTTCTCTGACCCATCCCCCCAAAGATTCCTGCGTCCCTTTCCTTCTCAAAGCTCCTCCTGACAACCCCCAAATTCCAGGATCTGCTGCTGACAAGACAGGGGTGAGGTGGGCCTAGCCGTAGTCACAGAAGGTTTTAAACCACATCTGAGTTGTAAGATATAACCATTGGATGAAACTGAGTGAAGGGTACATGGAACCTCTCTGTATTATATTTGCATCTTTCTAAGAGTCTATGATCATTTCAAAATAAAAAGATAAAAAACATATCTGAATTAGTTCTGATTTCATTCCTCTCTCCTGGAGTGCACCAGAACTCCTACTCTTGGAGTACTGCAGGCCCCCACCTCTGGCCATCTTCCTAGACTATCCTTAGCAGTCAGTAGTCTCTTCCATTCCATGTGTTCCATGACAGAGGTGGGGTGGGGGAAAACTCAGTTCCAGGTTGGGTGTTGAAAATAGATTCTCCCTTCCCTCCAACTCTAGAGCAAACTCATAGTAAGAGTCAGGCTAAGTAGAGCCTTGGCCCACCCTCGCTCACTTCTATTTCTCCCCCAACAAAACCTGGATTGCCACAGATGAAGCAGATGGAGAGACAGGGAAGGGTCTAGTTGGTGACATCTGGATCATGCTATGTCAAATCAGGACTTGCTACCCCTCTTTGGGAGGTAGAGGAGGTTGAACACCAGCACTGTGCGAATGCAAGTAGCAAATACTTTTGCCTCCACATCTGGTTCATCTCATCTCCAAATATAGTCCTCAGTCCTGTTCTTAGAAGCAGTTGTTGAAGGAAATGCTAACTTATGGTTGGGAGTCATGAGGCTAAGTAGGGTAAAGGGTGTTGAGCTGGAAACCCCTCCTTCTTGGGCCTTCTTTTCTCTTCTCTTCTTTCTCTACCAGTGGGCCCAGTGATCCCTCAGCCTGGTGGAAGACAGAGCTCATTAGCTGCTGCACACACAGATGTTTATTGTTCCCCAAGTCCTTGGTGTTAAGGATGCAGGATCAAGGTCTGGCAGGCTGAGATGAGGCTACTCACTAGTTGCTGGCCTTCTTATCATAGGTGCCAGCACCCTTGTAGCCACTCACATAGCCTGAGTTGTCAGTCACATCTTCCCGTCCTGCGATGCCCTTGCCTTTGCCACTCTCATCAAAGCGCTCCTTGTGGGTGCCCGTGTACTTGCTGGTGTCTGTCAGCCGGCTCACCGCCCCCACCATCGTCATTTTCTGCAAGCCAAGGAATGATGGGTCTGATCTCCCCTCCTCCCTCCTCTCCACTGCCACACCCTTCTTTAAAGACGGCCCTTGATTCTGCAAGTGCTCAGAGCTCTTGCACTCCCTGTGTCATGGTGCTGTTTTCAAGGTCCAGAGGCAGCTGTGAGGAGAAACTGGGGCAAAGGCCATCTACTCCTGAGGGAGGAGGAATCTGGGGTATGGGAATGAGTGGAGGGGGATGGATTTTTCTGCTTCCAGAGGCGGTATTTTGACCAGGCTGCTGCCAGAGGACTTCAACCCCAGACACAATATGCAAGGTCCCTCCTACTGGGAAGGCCCTATTTGAAACCTAGAGTAGAAAGTGCTTTTAGTAGAGAGGGGACAAATAGGGTGGGTGAGAGGCAGGAAGTCAGAGATTAGACCTTCTATAAGAGCAGGAGGATGAGTGGGGATCAGGTACCAAGTCCTCTGCACTCAGCCTCCCCCAATTCCACCAGGCCCTAGTTGCCTGGATCAGATACTGGAGACTTGGGAATGAGTCTAAATTTCACTGCTAAAATAGCTGTGGACCTCGGGCAAGTCACTTCCCCTGTCTGGACCACCGTTTCTTCGCCTCTGAAATGACTAGATTGATCTCTAACGTCTTCCAATACCAACACTCTCCCTACAATATCAGAGCTGGCAGGGGTTAGGGACATGGGAGGGCAGGAGGGGAGACAGGAACAGCAGGGATTTAGGGAAGTGGTAAAGGTTCAAGAGGAAAAATGTCACTCACAGTAACACCAGTAGTAGCTGGATCCTTGCCCTCCATGAGTTTATAAATGTCCGCAAGGGCTTCATCTGGGTTCTTCCCCTTGAACCGCTTCTGGCCCAGTTCTTTCACTGCCTCTTGGAACTGTTGAAAGGTGATGGTTCGGGCATTCTTGGCCCTGGTCAGTGAGACAGAAATCCAGGAACTCTAGAACATGCACTAATCACCTTCCAAAGTCCAATCCTCCCCTCTCTCAAGACTTGGCTTCTTGACACTGCAAGTCTTGAGGACAGCGAATAGAACAGTGCCAGGTACCCAATAGGTGCACAGTAGACCTATTACAAACGTTCTGCAACATGAACCCTTCCATGTCCATTGCCTTGTTTGTTCTCCTCATCACTCCCACTCCCATCTTTCATCCCTTACTTGACTTTGCTGAACACGATGTCTACATCAGTGGAGGTGACCATTTTGCCGTCCATGATGCCACAGTCTTTGCACAGCTTGGAAAAGTTCTTATTGTTCATTTCAGTGCCAGTGCTTGATGATTCTCCAAAGACAGCAAATCTCTGGAATGTTTTCTCTGCTTCTGATGCCATGGTCAACTGGAGGTAGGGGAGGACAGTAGGGAGGGAGACTCGGGGGTGAAGCAGGAGGGGAAGGGAGGACTGTGGAGTAATGAGGATGGAGGTTAACATAAAAATCAGATTCAATAACAGGAAGAAACCCCTTCTCCCTAGTCCTCTCTCTCCTTTCCCCCCTTACTCCCATCCCACCTACCCTTCCCAGCACTGGGGATACTAGTGGGGATCCTATACACTGAATAATCACCACCACCACCCACTTCCCCACCACTTTTGTGTACCTAAGAGTGCCCGGATGGTGTCTGACCCTTCCCAGCCTTCACATGTAAGTGTGTGCAGATATGTGGGGGCTAGCTAGCTGGGGAGACTTTGTGGCAATGAAGAGACAGAGGGAGGAAAGGGAAGCTTCTATGACCTCAGCAGTGTTTATGTGACATCACCTCCAGCCCCAGCTACAGCCCTAGTCTTTGGGGGAGGGGTCTTTTTTGTTTGCCCTACCTTGAATGCTGTATTGAGCAAGTTGCCAACTTTCTGATCTCTCCAGATGACCAAACTTCCTTATTATTTCAGCCAGCTTGACCCAGTCCTCTGAGTCCTGGTCAAACTCTCCTATGCTCTGCTCCTCAACAAAAACTGAAGAAAGCCCAGGGAAAGGGTTAATAAAAACAGATTGGTATTGGTCTAACATTGCCCTCCTTTCTAGTCTCTAGGTCCAGGTGTAATGACCAACATGGAAAATCCCACTAGCTTTGGTAGACCAACGTTAGTAAGAACTTTAAATGGCTTCCAATGTTGGGCCCAACACGGAAAGAGCATAGGGCTTGGAGTGTAACACATCTGGGTGGATCAGGGTGAAATAGGTCAGAGTGAGAGTGAGTCTCAGACTCTGAAAATCTTCCAGATAAGTTTCTGTGCAAGTCAAGGATGATCCTCAGAGGTTTCTCTTTGGCCTTTTCTCTGGCCAGAAGCCATATAGATAGATGAACTTCAGGGATCTTAAAATAGTGCAGCTGGAATGGTGACTTCCTTCTCCTTCCTGTCTAACCATCAACAGTTCCTATAAATGTTTTTTCTTTGTCTTATACATTCATTCCTTTCCCTCCATTTCCTATTACTCTCACACTTATTCAAGTCCTTGTCATCTCATATCTAGTTGATTATCCTGGCTTCTAAGTGACCTCTTTCCTGAGTCTAAATGCTTTGCCTCCACCCATACCATAATCCACCTCAATTACCCCCCCCATCAGATTAATTTTCACAAAACTATTTTTTATCCATTACTTCTACTCAAGAACACTCTATGGATCTTCAGTGCCAAACCTTTTGGCCTGTCATTCAAGGAAGTTCACACTTGGCCCCAATCTTCCTTACCAAACAGCACCCATCTCTCATCAACGTTATTCTTCATCTGGGGCCATAATGGCCTAATCACCATATGCTTGAGAGGCTACCTGTAGTGGAAAGAGCCTAGCCTTGGAGTGAAACAAATCTGAGTGGGGATTTGAGTCCTAGATAAGTCATTTACTAGCTGGTTGGCCTTGGGAAAGTCACTAAACATCTCTGAGCTTCCGTTTCCTCATCTGTACAGTGAAGACAATAATACTTATCTTATAGTATTAGGGGATAATAAATGGGAAGTACCTTGCACATAGTAGCTACTATTCAATTGTTCAAAGTAATTTGTATATTTCTGCCCTCAAACTTTCCTTTATACTCTGTCTCTTCCTGGATAGAATGCCCCTTTCTCCCACTCAAATACTCCGTGGTTGCATTCCTCATAAGCTGGTTCACCCTATGAACAAAACCCTTTTCCTCCTCTGTATTATACTAAGATAATGGTTCCTAGCCTGTGGGTTACAGCCTCTTAGGGTGAGGATTTCTGAATTACTGCAAGGGCCTCTGGAATCTATATGTACACAGAAGATGAAATGTCAACTGAATAAATAGAGTGCTATGCACATGTAGGTATTACTACATACATAAATGTTGTGATTATCAAAATACTGTACAAGCTTATTTGAAAGTACTGCTGAATTCATGGTTTTTCTCCACCAGGGGATACTAAAACCATCATGTGGGAATGGAAATCTCTGATCTCCCATTTGAGAAGGGTGGGAAACTACTGCCATAGGCCTTACTGTCTAAACAATTAATCGTATATATATATCTATCATTTTTCTTCACGTTTTCTATCTTTATACCTTCTCTCAACTACTTGATCATAAGCTTCTAGAGAGGGTATGACTAGACTTCACACCTCTTTGAATTCCATCTACACAGCGGCTTGCACATAGCAAGTACATAAAACTGTTACTTAGTTGAAGGTATAGTTTGAAGCTGCTTCTGGCCCAAGAGAAAGAAGTTAGAGAGAGAGATTATCCTTGTAGGGCCACTAACACTTGGGCTAGGCTGGGACCTGCCCTGACAGAGAGGAACCCTATCTTAGGGCAGAAGCAGACTTATTTCTGCCTGCAGCAGGCTGAGACCCCTAGGCCCAGGAAACAAACAGATCCCAGTGGAAATTTCCCATCTCCTGTCTGCCCGCCCCCCTGCATAGGCCCCTTATCAGGTTCCCCCTGAGTCATCCTGACCCAGAGACGAATTTAGATGCTGGAACCCTCAGGTCCTTCCCTCCCCCACTCCAAGTAAGCTGACTTTAGACACATCAGAGAAAGCCACAGGCAAAAGTTCTCCCTCCAGGCATTCTTTCTCCCCAGTTCCTGTAGGGCTGGTGAGCTCTCTCTCTCTTGTCCTATGCATCTTTATCTATAATCTTAATTCCAGCAGACTTTTCCTTGCCCAGGAGAGTGTTAAACTGCATGGGGGGGAGAGGGGACTAGGCGAGGAGCCAAGGTGCCCAGCTTCTGTGCCAGTCGCTGGGGAAATAGTTATGAAGGGAGCGGGGGAAGGGAACAGAGGAAAACTTGGGTGCTGGAAATTGGGGGATGTAAGGGGGTCCTTTGGATTTGGGGTTGTTGAAAGCTGGGCTTAATCCTGACCAGTTCTACTCTGGGTCACCTCCTCCCTCTTGGCCCCTCCTTCTTTCCAATAGACGCTGCCAAGTGAGGATGAAAGGGGCATTGATGTTCCTTGGATGGGAGGGGGGGTTGTGGGTGGTAAGGGTGGTGGGTGGGGGGGTGGTTCCCAGGCAGGAGGGGGGAGGACAATTTGGGGGTCTTGTCGGGGGGGGGGGCGGACAGGCTGTGCTGGTGTTGCAGTTGGCAGCTCCAGTTCCATTGGTCATTGTTCTCAACTGGCCTGGCGCCCAGCCCCCGAAACGGCAACTCAGGAACCGAGCTGAAAGAGGATGGGGTGGGGACCTTGGGGGAGGGGAGCTGGAAGGGGTGCAGGTGGAGAGAAATTCAATCTGACTTTCTATTCCCTAAGACAACTCTGAATTCTCTTAGCCACATAACTATCCCATTCTTGGTGGCCTTCCTCTCAGGGTCCCAGGGAAGGTGCATCTAGGTGGGGGG